CTCTTGGTGTACTGGTTGACCTGAGAAGTTTAGAAGTTTAATTAAGTGACTCAGCACAGAGCCAGGGCTCATTGCTCGGAAACACCCTCTTCCGGTGCAAGAAGCGGGCATGGACATTGTGTGAATTCTGCACCCCCAGCCCCAGCGTAGCTTGTTTATCTGGAGGGGGGAGGGGCTGGCAAAACTCTGCAGCTGCTGCCCCTCCCTTTGCTCCTCGCTGACTTCTGCTGCCATGAACTACTGCTCTCTGGCATGTGCCGCTCTGCCTGGGAGCCAGTTGAGTATAAACTGAAGCCCCCACAAACTGTGAGCTAAATAAACCTTTCCTTTCTTAATTTTGGGTGTTGATATTCTGTCCCAGCAATGGTAAAAAAGTAACTGAGATAGTGGGGCACGGCAGAATTCAGTTGCTCAGCTCTGCTTCTCATCCGTCTGGAGAGCGTCTTCCCCCTTCATTGCTTGGGTAAGGTCATAACCAGTTTAGCTTACTGAAAGCAGAACACAGAGGCAGAACAGATAGGAGGGGAAAATGAAGGTGAAAATATATAGAGAATGATTTACTCTTTTAACAAATACTCAGTGGTCATTGAAACTAAGCATGCAGAAAAACCATACAAATATACAGCCCAAGAAGTTAAAAAGCAGCTCAGCACTCTGAAGAATCAGAAAATGAACTGATTGGAAAGTTTCAAAATAGCAGGAAATGAAAGTGGCGGAAGATCCGTGGATAGCAGCAGATGATGACCATGAACAGCAAAGGTGTTCAACAGAACACGTGGAGAACTGGATTCCAACTCAAGTGAAACAGGGCGCAGACTTGGAAGAGGCCAGGTAAACCCGAGGCTCTGGCCAGTGAAATCCAACATCCAGTGCCAGGGATTTTAATTGGGCTGAGAAGCAAAGGAGAGGGGGCTGAGCGATGTGGGCAGGAGGGTTAGAACTATGCGAAGGACGCACTGAAGTTGTCAGACACAGCCCCTAGCTAGGAAATGCTACACTGGGAAAAAAACTGATTTCACAATGAAGAAACACAGGCAAGAAAGACCAAAGCAAGAATGAAATCACGACATATGCAGGAAAATGGATAAAACTTGCCACTACAGTAAGCCAAGTCATCCAGACTCAGTAGACTCAGAAAGGCAAGTTTTACATGTTTTCCCCAATATGTAGAGTGTTAAACAAAACAAAAACTAGAAAGATGACCTAAAAGTAGAAGGAAGATAGTTTGCAAAGGGAGAGACAGATGAAAGGAAGGGCAATGGGGGAGGATATGCTCAAAATATTAACAGGAGACAGCTAAAAGCCCACAAACATAAGTAATAAGTAGGCCCTCCCTACATATTCACTAAGAAGTATTATTATTTGTTGGCAAAGTTATTCTAACATAGTCCAAATGATAGCTGTACTCATAAAAAGTCTCAACTCCATAAAACAGTGAAATAATTACAATGTACAGTAAGAATTCACCTCAGCACTTTTCTTCTATTTCTTTTTAATATGTAACCAGCAAAATATTGAAGAGTAATTGTTTAATGTCTGGCTTGCCTACTGAGTTATAGGTTAACGGAGAAAGGGACCTCCCAAGGGAGTCTCACTAAGATAACTATTCTTAATTAATCATGATTAATGAGTGACTAATAATACGTGTAAACAAGCAAAATATTCTAAAACAACTGGGAATTTTGATGCAAGAAGTTCTTTTCTAGGAAAACATAAATTTAAAAAAATAACTGGTTCAAGAAGAAAGAAGAAACACAATAGACCATTAACAACAGAAAGTCACCTCCAAATAATAAATCTCACTAAGTCATTTTACCGATGCTTTATTGAACTTTGGAGGGACTGGTAATCGCCATGTGTTCAGACATTACAGGGCAGAGCACCAGAGTCTTTGGAGAACATTTGTGGCTAACTGTGTGGCATGAGCTCATCTGTGTGTTACAGAGCTAAAATGCTCTAAGCCTGCTGGGGAGCTAGCTCTGTGGTCTAAGCGCCTGCCTGCCAAGTGCAAGGATCCAGGTTTGATCCCTTGTATCACATGCCATGCTGGCCACTGAAACCAGGTGTGGTGGCACATGCCAGTAATTCCACCACTGGGGAGACTGAGACAGGAGGATCACTACAAGTCTGAGCTGCGTAGCGAGACCCTGGACTAAATAAAAAATCAGTAGTCATTTGTTATCTTTGTGCAATTCAATACCCTCACTGAGTGCCTACAGTGCTCTGACCCTGGCAGCGCTGCTGGGTGGGGGCTGAAGTTGATGACGTTGCCTGAGTGGGTTCAGTACAGAGAACGGAGGCTTTCACTCCAGGAGGGGCAGAGAAACAGAGGCAGGAAAAGACTCCCAGGACCCACCAGGAATGAGAGGGTACAGATGGCCTCAGCTGCCACAGCACCAAAGTGGGCATCTCCAGAGGTGACTTGGGGCGCACCTGTCTGATGCTGCACTCTGCATACCCAGGCATGGGGCCAATGGCTGCTCCTTGTCCTGACCGAGGAGGTTTGGGCAGAAGCCTCTCTCTGGCAGAACTGAGTAGGGTTTCCATAGCCTTCTGCTACATTTCTGGGTGAGGAACTGACCAGCAGCAGCCAACTGCAGGTCACACAGGCACACAGAGGAAGAGGGGCTACCAGTCTGAAGCCGGACTGAGGGTTACTCTGTGAACAGGACAGCCCCCCAGACCCTGTGGTGGGTCAGGGAGGAGCATGAGGCGGACCCTCGCACACGCTTGCACACACTTGGTGCCCCTCCACCACAGTGACGCAGCATCAGCAGTGGGCCTCTCACTTGCTAACCTATGTCTAAAGTCCAGGATCAAGTTTGTATTTGTCCTTTTAAATTTGGAGGCAGTTTAAATTTAGATGAAATATACATTGGATGAAGTGTGCTTTTAAAATTGTCTATTTTCCTTATAAAATTTCCCTTTCTAGTTAGTGTCAGGACTGCAACAAGAGGAAATGTGGTCTGCAACGAGACGAATGCTCTCTAGCCAGCCAGGACTCATGCCTCCTCTCCTCTAAAATTCCATTAGAATTTTTAGAAATACAATAGCAACAACACTGTACACATTACTTGATGAGTCACTTTGTAGAAAACTGTACATCCACACACGCACACTTATATGTGAGCTCAAATCAAACTACTGGGTGTGCATGTGCACACTCGTGCACACACACACACACACACACACACACACACACACACCTCTGTGTGAGACTCTGCCTTAGTTGGTACCTAGGATTCAATGCCCTGCACAAGGAGAAGTTTCCTTTGGTTCACGTTTCAGTCCTTAGGTCGTGAGCTGGCTCTAAGGCAGGGCAGCGGGGCAGCGGGTCCTGGCGGAGCAGCCCTGCTCACAGCACGTAGACAGGAAGCAGCAAGAGGAGCAAGGAGTGGGGGAGGGAGCTAAGTCCAGCCGCACCACCTCCCTGGTGAGGCAGGCCTCTTGGGTAGACCCCCACCTAAAAGCAGGTCAGCTATCAGCCCCCATGACCGGCTCATTTATCTTCCAAAAGTCACTCTCTTTGTGTTCATGAGACTTTGTTGGGGGGCATGTAGATACAAACCCTGACAGATCCTTCCCCACCAGGGCGCGGTCTCTGAGCCTGGGAACACCACCACTGCTGGCTTAAAAATGTGCCTTATGACACTGGGATGGCAAGATAGCTCAGTGGACTGAGTGCCTGCTTAAGCGAACACAGGGACCGGGGGTTCAATCGCCGGGGATCCCACACAGCGCTGGCCCTGCCCCTGCACATGCTGAGCCAGAGATCCAGTCTGGGTGTGGTGGCACACGCCTGTAATCCCTGCACTGGGGATGTTGCAAACAGGAGAATCACTAGAAGTCCAAGCTGCACAGTGAGACCCTGTACCAAATAAATTTTTAAAAAGAAAGAAAGAAAGAAAGAAAGAAAGAAAGAAAGAAAGAAAGAAGAAAAATATGCTTCATGGAAAGAATATTTTTCATGGTTTCAAGTAAGGAGGGAGGGAGGAAGAGGCAGGGAAGAAGGGACGTGAGAGGGAAAGGAAGGAAAGGGGAGGGAGGGAGGGAGGGAGAGAGAGAGAGAGAGAGAGAGAGAGAGAGACAGGTGGACGCGCTGCTCTGTGCAGGAGCTGACACTTCCTCTGAGCTCTCCAAACTTGCATGCTGGGGAGAGGAAGGTGCACCGCTGTCACTCCTCATCCTCTCTCCAAATTGTGTGAATCCTGGTGAAACAGGCCAGCTGGACCAGAGGACCTTGAGGTCAGGGGAACAGAATTCTGGGCCCCACAGAAGGGGACTGGGTCAGAGGCGGGAACACAGCCAGCAGAAAGGGGCGACCGCGCACACACGTGCGCACACACGTGTACACACCCGAGCAGCCCTGCAAGCACACACACTGGGCACACGCGCGGGCACTGATGAGGACCTGTGGTCACACAATGGTCACGACAAGGAGCAGAACACAGTCTAAAAGTGAAAAATCACCACCCGCTCCAATGCATAGTTTGGGGCACCGATGTTGCCTCCCCCCACGCTGGCGGGCAGGTGTCCAGCTTGGCCCCTAGCCTCCCAGGAGGCGGCCCCAGGTCCCAGCAGGGCAGCTCCTGCAGCCAGACCAATCCAGGGCTGAGTAGTCCCAGAGCCTGAGCGGGCCACCCTCTGGGGACAAGGGGAGTCCCAGGTTCCCCTGTGCTTGGCCTCTTGACGCTCAAGCACAGTCGCCTGGGTGCAGCCAGGTGTCCCGCCCCATGAGCGAAGGCGACCTCTAGGGGGGAGCGCACAGAGAGGCGGGCCCCAGGACAAGGGAGGACGCGACCCCACAGCCTCCTCCCCTTGCTCCCTCCTCTCCCTTTTCCTCCTCCTACCCCATCCCTCCTTCCCTCCCCTCCCCTTCCCCCTTCTACCAGTTCTCTCACGCCCCCCGCGGCTCCTCGACCCCTGCGATGTCACCTCCCCGCCCCCTGAGCGCCCAGAGTGATAACCGCGCGCTGCGGCGTCTCCAGCCGCGCTGCGGGTGTCCCCTGAGCGCACCACCGGCTGAGCGCTCCATGCGGCAGGGAGAGCGCGGTCTGCGGCCCCCAGGGCGCGCGGCGCTGTGGGCGCTGCTGCTGGTGCGGCTGGGCACACAGGTGAGTCCCGGCCGGAGTCCGAGCCGGTGTCCGAGCCCGTGCCCGAGCCCGTGTTCGCGCCAGCCGTCCGCCGCGTAAGCTCCGCGGCGCTCATCACCTCCGCTCTCCCCGCAGGCACCTGCGTGCGCCTTGGAACCCGCAGCGGCCGCGCCCCGGAGCCCTGGCTTCGCGCGCGCCCCCTTGGAGTGGCCGGGTTGGCAGGAGAAGGCCGGTGAGTCCGGGACTGCGATCCCCGCCGCCCCCGCCGATTGCGTGGTCCCCACCCGGCGGAGCCTTCCCGCTCCGTCCTTCCCCATTCGCACCCCAGGGGCCGCCACTGTGCGATCCTGGCAAAACTGTTAACAGTTTGCAGAGTCAGGAAAAAGCGTAGCCACTGCATTTTGTCTGTGAAAAGCTCAGCAGCGCTGACACAGAATCTGCACCCACCGATGCGGTGTTAGTGCGTGCGTGCGTGGGTTCCCTTGGTGAGCGCAGACCCCCGCCCCCGCCCCTCTCGACCCCGTGCTGTAGCACAAAGGTCACTGATTCCCAGTCCGAGAGCAGGAGCCAGCGCCTGAAGTCTCCCTCGGGCTGCGCATCCCAGGATCCCAGTTAGTGCTCTTCAGGAACCGGGTTGAGTGGAAACAGAATGCGTGAAACAAGCACATAGCCGCCGCGACACCTGAGTTGTGTGCGTCCGCGCTGGGGCTGGGCAAAGCCGGTCCCATCCCTCGCTAACCCGGTTTGTTTCCTGCTGCTCCCGAGCGGCGTTTGTCCACGCCCTTGGGCCCTTGGGCGTGGGCCTGTGTCGCGCCGTGGCGTCAGGTGAGCGAGAAAGCAGATGTGCGGCAGTGGGCGCGGGGTGCTTTTCGTCTGAGCCCGGTTCGCCGGCGGTTGCGGAGCGCTAGCGCTCTGCGTCTTTTCCCGCGGTGAAGCCCCATCTGCAGCGTGAGTAGCAGCACTGGCATTTACAGAAGTGGCTTATCGCAGAAAACCTAGAAAATTGAAAAGTGAAGAGATCAGGGTTCTTTGATATGGTGCCTTCGTCTTGACAAGCTGACACAAAGATAGGGACTTCACATCTGCACCGCTGAAACTGTCCCGGCTGGAGAAGAAGGAGGAGACGCGATAAATAGCAGACCGGCGGTAGGGCCCGGGCCCCTTGGGCGCCACCAGAGGGCGCGAGATACAAATAATACAGACAAAATCCCTCTGCAAGGAGAAAGCACATACCTGTGTATTTGTAGTTCTCCTTTCCCGGTTCTCTTCCAACGCACTATCGTAATCCATGCACCTTCATACCTTTAAGAGTTACAAGGACGTCTGCTTTTAGAATAAAATTAAGAAAATTCCAGAGGGGCCCAGGAAATCTTAGATACTCGTAGCACTAAAGACTATTTGCTTAGGCCCAGAACTCTGAGGACCATTTAGAAAGAAAAGCCACCACGACTTCCTGCCTAGGCCAGGGACTGCTTTGCCTGTGTCTGCCGAGCAGGTGCTGTCCTCACCTGGCACCTCTCCAGGTGCCACAGCACAGTGTGACCACAACAGCTCATGCAGGGTCTGATCAGGGCCCGAAGCAGGAGCTGTGTGTCATGGTCAGCGAGCTTCTAGCTCCCATGGTCAGTGGGTGCATGGACTCCCACACCTCAATCTCCACTCTCCCCTCTAATTGTGAAAAAACTCCCTCGCTAAGGTGGGCTCCCTCAGTGAGGGGTCTTTCCCACACCCAGGGAGGATTCAGCTCAGCAGGGCCGTCCCTTAGGTCTGGAGTGTGGAGGCCAGCGGGACAGCCGGGCGCGCCTGCTCTTGGATGCGGAGGCATCTATGGTCTGAGCTGGTTTTGAAATAACCTTGGGGCCCTAAGTGTCATTGGCAGTGACACCTCCATCTGTCACTGCAGACTGTGCAGGGTGGCCGAAGTAATCATGCAGCAAAGTCGAGAGCTCATCTATCCTTCTGGGCAGTGCTGGATAACTAACTGCCCTGAGAAAATTCCATACTCAGACACGGAGACCAACTCTTTCACCGTTGCTGGTTCGGCATGACTTTGTCTTCCTTAGTGGAAAACTTAGATGCTTTTTCTTACACTGTGTCTTTGTAATAAAATCCGTGGTTCCTCTGAAACCTGAAGCTATGGTACATCTTTAACTTTCAAAATTTCCAGGCAAGTTCACAGCAAGGATAGAAATCTTTGGAACGAAATGACAAATGGTGTGTGTGTGCGTGCGTGTGCACACTCAGGCATAGCTGGTGATGATTTACATTCAGATCTCAATGGCCGATGAGACAGCTTGGCCCAGCGCTGCACCAACAGGATTTCCTTGTCGGGCGGGCACAGGGTGTGCAGCTCTGCTTGGAAGCACTCACCACTTGCTGTGGTGTAAACATTCCCATGCCATGGATCCTGAGTCACCAGTGTGATGTCACCAAGCTACAGGGTGAGGTGGTGGTGGACAAGCTGAGCTCTCTGAAGCTGGCCGCCCTGGTCCCACGTGCTCACTTGTGGGTCTGCACCTCTCAGGACAATCTGCAAACCAGAGTGCCCTGCACTGACCCTGAGCTCCAGCAGGTCAGGATGCTGAGCTGAGCTGCCATCCCTGATAGTTTTTCTCATTATGGACCCTCCAGGGGGCTAAAGTCTTATTTCAAGGGTTCTCACACAGCAGGAATGTCCCTATTTTTTAACCACAGGCATTTAGGGGATTACAATCTTAAAACACAGATTCCCCTTTAGTTTTTGTTTTTCAGCCTGTTGCGGTTGCACTTGGACCTCTCTGCAGACAGTGTGCGTGGTGAGAGCGTGTGCTTACTTGGTTCATTCCCCAAGTTCTTCAGCTGTGTGGCCCTTTCTCACACTCGTTTCCGCAGATTAGACCATTAGGGTATCTGTCTTGATGAAGTCTCAACAGGGTGGTGGTGACATCTTGTAACTGCCGCATGCTTCCCAGCGCCCTGTGTTCTATCTGTTCCATCCCAGAGCATCCTTGTCCCTCTCCACTCTGGTGACAACCTAATGTCTCTCCAGACAGTGCAAGTGTCCCCTCCAGGGTCATCTGCCTGGAATGTAGACTTACTGCACCATGGTGGGAGACAGCTTGTCTCTTCCCGATTTATCAGCAGTTATTTTGCAGGATAAACACCATTGCCCTTCTCCCCCACTAAAAGGGTAAATTCCATCTTTCTTGAAAATGCAGGTCATGAGATGTGGCTTATGTTACTAGGAACAATTTGATTTTTTTTTTTTTTTTGAGAGGGATCACCTTTTCATGTGCAATGAAGCTTGCTAATTAGACACAGTTTGGAGCAGCTCCACCAGCCCCCTGCTGTCATCCCATGGCCTAGAGGAGGAGGAAGAGGCTAATGAGGTGGCAGGAGCTGTCCCCAAGAAGGCAGGTAGAGTGTCTGCCAGCCTCCAAGCCTACCTTACCTCCAGTTCCAAGCTAGGAAGATCAAGGGCAGAAATCTCACCCTAAAGAGATGCTTTGCAGGAATGCAAATGGAACAGGAGGGTGCCTGTCCCCTTCCTCTTGGTGAGCAGCCAGGGCTCTACCCAGGCACCCAAGCCACACTGAGTCCTCTAGTGTCCCCCATTTCTTCTCCCAGTTCTGCAGCTCAAGCAGATTGGTCCAGCTTTCTCATTCTCCTAATGAGAATAGCACAGAATGCCCATGTGACACCAGCTCTTGCGCAGGCTCCCTGCTGCCCCTCACCCACCCAGGCAGCCTGAAATGCCAACTCACACCCGGGGACCCTTTGTTGCTAAGGTCTGATTCAGGCTGGGACACTGTGGCTCAGAGTCTGGATCTGAGGAGGGGGACATGCTGGTGGCAGGGGCCTTGCCACTCGGTCTTCCTGGCCTGGGCCCTTACTTTCCTGGAACCCTCCAGAGGTACCTGCCACCCACAGCTGCAGGTCTCTATCTCAGCAGAAGCTAAACTGCCTTTTCTCCAGGCCTGCTGGTTGCTACTGTGAGCTCCTGGGTCCCTACAAAAAGCTTGGCCAGGAAAGAACAGGATCAGATAGATAAGAGCCTGTGCTGAGATTTACTTGTGAAGAAACCTTCTCTTTCTAAAGATAATACTAACGTTAATCCTACTACTACTGTTACAACTAGCCTAACCGTAGGGAGTGTTTCCTAATAGTGACCAAGAAGATTGGACTATTTTATCTTACAACCCCAAAGCATGTCCCACTGGACCCAAGCGGAGACAAGAGAACTGTGGGTAAGCCAAGGGGAAGGTGCAGATGCCCACAGAGCAGCAGCACTGGACTCCCATGGCCGATGCAGGGGAAGCTGCACTTGCATCTGGAGCTCTGGTCACCTCTCTGGTGCGTGGCCTGACGTCCAGGAGACACCTCGCAGTGAAGCTAGAGGAAGACCTGCCTCATCTGGACTACTCCTGGCAGGCTTAGGAAGAGTTCAAGGGAGGAAACTGGCCCTCCCGTGGCTAGGGAAGGCCCAATCGCAGGCTCTCAGGCAGTTGGAGGCACATGCACCCTGTGCCTTGGGGTTCAAGGAATGTGAGCCCAGCCAACCTGCTGAGCTGTGCTACAGAGCTGCCTTGGTGCTGCCTAAAGCTCCAGAAAACACACACACACACGTACACACATGTGTTCACACAAGTGCACACACACACACACACACACACACACACACAGAACATAAGCTTTTCTGTGCTGACATCTAGAATGCACCTACAGTCTGCATTTTTCTTTCAATGTTCTGTTCAATAATTTAATAATTAAATAATTAAGCAGCAAAGGATGCCCGCCACATTTTGCTTTTCAACAATTTTCTGAAAAATGAAGGTATTTTTGAGCTAGTATTCCTTGTCAGTTCAGTGAAGATGTTAGTAAAAAGATGTTAGTAATATATATATATATATATATGGCTGTTTTCTCATTCAGAGGTTAGGACTAAAGAAATGATTCTGAGTTATAAAAGTGATGATAGATGACTGTTACTCAATTGGTAAAATTGATGAACTATAATCTTGAGAAACCAATTTTCTTTATCTACTCTGTCATCTGTTTTATTGTTTTTTTTTTTTCTTCCTTTTAAGCCAAGATGAGCAAGAGGCAGCCGAGGGGATGCGGCTCACACTTCTCCTCCCACCCCATCAGCCCTTTCCCAGGATGCTGATGGCAGGGGTGCTATTGCTCGTGGTGGTAAAGAAGATAATTGTTAGGCAGAAAGCCCTCTGAAGGCATTCCCAGCACCCTGATGGGGCTTCTCATTCTCCTCCATACCTCCTGCAGAAGGGGTGGGAACCCTGAATGTGGCACTGGGAGGTTCTTGATAGGCCCCCTGCAGGATCCCTGTGTGCAAATCTGAGCCAGTCTGGGCTTTCTCTTACTGTTTTCAAAGAATTAGTTGAGTATGTTTTAGACCAGTCCACTCTCAACCAGTGTGGCATTCCTCTTGGAAAAGCTTGGCACCAGAAAAGCCAGTCAAGTCACAAGAAGCCAGATAGACAGGAGGGGAAGCTCAGCCAATGGGAGGCCCACTGAAGTCCACAGTGGTCAGCACACACACACACACACACACACACACACACGTACACACACACGTGCTCACACAAGTGCACACACACACACACACACACACACACACACACACACAGGACCATAAGCTTTTCTGTGCTGACATCTAGAATGCACCTACAGTCTGCATTTTTCCTTCGATGTTCTGTTCAATAATTTAATAATTAAATAATTAAACAGCCAAAGATGCCCGCCACATTTTGCTTTTCAACAATTTTCTGAAAAAATGAAGGTATTTTTGAGCTAGTATTCCTTGTCAGTTCAGTGAAGATGTTAGTAAAAAGATGTTAGTTATATATATATATATATATATATATATATATATATATCTGGCTGTTTTCTCATTCCGAGGATAGGACTAAAGAAATGATTCTGAGTTATAAAAGTGATGATAGATGATTGTTACTCAACTGGTAAAATTGATGAACTATAATCTTGAGAAACCAATTTTCTTTACTCTGTCATCTGTTTTATTGGTTTTTTTTTTTTTTTCCTTCCTTTTAAGCCATAGAATTTAAATCATAGGATCTGCTGGCTTGGTGATATAGAGACAGTGGCAGTTTACCCGATAGCCACTTTGGAGATGTTTCCTTTGTACTCTGGTGCTGTTAATTGCGTCATTTTAGGAAGAGGATGACTGTACAGAATTTTTCCCCCATCATTTCTTACTACGTGGAAGCAGTGTGGTGCTCTTACATTCTAAGACTTCCGATTCCTTGGATCCCTGAGATGGCTCACTGCTCCCAACTCCTTTGGTTTCAGAATATGACCTGGTATCTGCCTACGAGGTGGACCCCAGGGGAGCCTATGTGTCCCACGACATCGTGCACCACCAGCGGCGGCGGCGGCGGAGCGCGGCGGCCCTGCCGGGAGGAGGGGACGCCCTGCACCTCCGGGTCAAGGGAGTCAGGCACGACTTCCACGTGGATCTGCGAGCCTCCAGCCGCCTGGTGGCTCCTGGGTTCGTGGTGCAGACACTAGGCAAAGGAGGCACCAAGTCCGTGCAGAGCTTCGCACCAGAACACTTCTGCTTCTACCAAGGCTCCTTGCGGTCTCACAGGAACTCCTCGGTGGCCCTCTCCACCTGCCACGGCTTGGTGAGTGTAGACGGCTCTGGGCCTGGGAGCGAGGTGGACATATTGACGGGGCAAAAGAGGTTCGCCAGAGGTTTCTCTCAGAATACCTCCAGCTGTTCCCTCATTCTCAGGGGCATGTCTTTGATCTATAAAAACAGGTGGACAATTGCAGAGTAATATTTTCCCGAATATGTAGCACGGCCCTCTGCCCACCTAGGCCTGTGTAGGAACAGCAGCCCCACTCACTCTTTGGTGGCTGTTCTAGAAGAACTGTGGAAGAGCATTTCCATTTGAAACACACATCTAAGAACTTGTGGTCGGGTGTAAGTAAATGAATATCTTAAGTGTTCCTGTTTGCTTTGTGGATTCCTAATGGAAACTGGAGAAATGACTTCACCGGCAACGGTTGTATTGGTTATTGGATCAGACGTTTGGGGCCCTGAGTACTTTACTTCTGTCGCTCGAATCATGATAAGATGCTTACAAGTCAGGGCACTCAGCCAGGCCACCACACTGCTGGCCTTATCAGACCCGTTAATTGGTTGGCTCATTTCCCCCTTTCTGAGTACCCGATTCAGACGCTGCCCCCAGCTTAGATGTGTAAGGTGCCTGCTTTTGCAGGACCCCAGAGGGAGGAGCAGAAAGCTAAACTGATGCTCTCTTGCAAGCCAAAATCGCAATGCTTCCACTTTTGCTTTTCTTGAAATATGTCCTTATTTTTTAGGGAAGAAAGGCTTAGGAGACACTTAGACTATGGGCCATGAATTAATCACAGACCCACATGAACACAGCATAACTGGGCATGGTGGACATGTGTGGTCAGAACACTTCCGGGTCGTGGCAATGGCAAAGGTTCACCACGTGGTCTGCGGACGTGGACTGCACCTGTAGAGAACGCATTTCCCTTCCTCTTTAGAAAAAGATTCCTGAATCACACCTCATAAGAATTGCTACGTCTTTGAGGTTATTGGCGGATAAAGGCTCTTTTCCAGCCACTTCCTTAAAATAAATACATGCTAGCCCTGAATCTTTAAAAAAAAATTTTAAAGGATAATGTTAGTATTTTGTGTTTTAGTGGAAATTTTATGAGTTTGATCTCTCTGTTTTGCTTTATAAAAGGCTTTTCCTTGCAGGGTGGACTCAGATTGTTGCGGACGTGTAGTGATGCCTGGTGTTCTTGTTAACCTGGAAGGCTGCGTGGCTAGTTTCCTCCATGTTCTCTAAAGGGGAAAAAATAAGTGTTCTTTAGTAATTGGGCGGAAACACTGTGTAAGGCTCTAAATTAAGACATCTCTCCCTTGGCTGCCCTCCACAAAAGCTTAACCCAGACCCAGCACCATCTGTGTGGTAGCGTGCTCGCCGGTCCCTTCCGAGTTCGTTGGATTTGTCTGTAGAGACTGGACAGGGTGCTGCCCACTCCCCCGCGTGGTGGAGGCCCCGTGGCTCTGGTGGGGCCTCCCACAGTGAGCGGGCTGTGTCCTGGAATCTGTTCCCTGGCGGCCCTTTGAGATGCCTAGCAGCCTGTGAGCTCGGTGGGAGTTAACAGCAAAGGCTGTAAGTGTACAGCTACATGAAAGATAAGAGAACGAAATAGAATCAGGAAAAGCAAAAGACTGCTGTGCAGTGCACGGTGGAATCTGCCGCAGCGGGCATGGGGATAGAAATTATTACGCCTTTTCCATTCATCTTCAAAATACAAAAATTCTAGCTCTCCTAATATTTTGTCTGTGGATGATCATTTGGGGCATTTGGCCCCAGAGAAGTAAACCAAAGGCACTGTAAAGAGCAAGGAAGGGGCTGGGGAAATAGCTTGGTGGTCTAAGTGCCTGCCTGGCAAGCGCAAGGACATGAGTTCAATCCCCAGTACCGCATGCTGTACCGGCCCTGGAACACCAGGCTCACCATGCCAGCCTCTGAAACCCGGCATGGGGGTGCACACCTGCAGTCTCAGTGCTGGGGAGGCTGAGGCAGGAGGGACACTATGAGTCTGAGCTGCATAGTGAGACCCTGTACCAAATAAATAAATAAATGACTAAAAAATAGAAAAGTTAGGGTTCTCATTAACTTTATTGAAAATCAGTGATTATATAGAATATTAAAAATTACAGACAAATATTGAAATGTGAAAGATATAAGATGTAGACAGAGTGAATTGTAGAGAAGTATTTCTGAAATGAATACAGCATGAGATCGATAATAGATTGCACATTGTAAGTAAATTATTTACAAAGTTAAATGAATATAACAATAAAAATTGTCCAAAATAAAAATGAAGAAGAAAGTATTTACAGATCAGTCATATATGTTTGTTCACTCTGTGACAAAAATCAAGAAACTTATATTCATGTAATTGGAATTCTCAAAGTAGAAAGGGGTAGGCAATAAATATTTAAAGATTATAAAATTTCTGAATTTAGTTGAAATTATAGCACATTTCCAAGAAAAATGAATCTTTTGCTCAAGAAATTTGAATAAAATCATACCAAGACACACAAAAATGAAATTGTCTAAAAGTAATTATAAAGAAAAAAATAAAGCATATACATAAAATATTAGCTATGGAAGAACAAACTTCAATAGCATCTTATTCCACATTAGAAAAAAAAAAAAAAAAGAAAGAGCAAGTGGGTGAGAAACCAGACTAATTAAGTCAAAGGACTGAAAGAAAATAAAAAAGATTTGTCCTCATTCAATTTTGTATTTAGCATACATACCTTTGAAAACTAAAAGTAAAATATTTTCCAGTTATACAAACTCAAAATATTCTAGTACCTCCAGATGTAGCATGTAGGAAATAACAAAGAGCATAATCCAGAAGGGAAGGGAAGTGGCTGTAGGTCCAGGATAAAGACTAAAGAGCTCTCAAGATGATAGTTATGCGGGACTATGTAAAATATATTAGATGAACCCATTTAAAAGGTCGTTGACGATCTCTACAAAACAGTATCCATCTTATGTCAGGTTATATATGTATTTTTCAGTGTGTGTATGTGTGTGTATAAAAGACAACAAGGAAGAAGTAATATAAAGTCAAAGGTAAATGGAGATACGCCACTGCCCTCAGTAGTGCTCCGCACCTCTCTGAGCTCTGCGCATCTCTCCGTATTCTCTTATTGTGTGCCTTAGATTGCACAATCGTCGCTAGTGTCTACTTAGATCGCACGATCGTCGCTAGCGTCTGCTTAAGTCCGATGCTTTTCTGCTCGCAGTCCAGCTCTACCGTCATGCCTCTCATCTCCGTTACTTTCCTTGCCGCTGAGGAAAGAAAGCGAAGGAAGGAGGGGTTGATTCACCTCACAGCTTGAGGCCTTTTCCGTCCACAGTCAGCTGGCTCCACAGCAGGGTACTGTGGCAATCAGGCCGCAGTTCATGGAGGCAGAAGACAGCAAAAGCAGCAAGAGCAAAAGGGGAAAGACAAGCTTTTTTCTCTTGTTCTTTTTTCCCCCTTTTATCTTATCAAGGCTGCTGGGATCAGGGCCAGCGGTGTAGCTCAGTGGACCAAGGGCTTGCTTAGGTAAGCGCAGGGGCCAGAGTTCAATCCCAAGCACCACATGCCGCACTGGCCCTGCCCCTGGGTCCTGCCCCTGCTGAGCCGGGGATGAAGTCCAGGCGTGATAGAGCATGCCTGCAATCCCAGCACTAGGGAAGCAGAAATCAGGAGGATCACTATGAGTCTGAGCCGCATAATGAGACCCCACGCGCATGCGCATGCGCATGCGCACGCGCACGTACACACACACACACACACACACACACACACACACACACACACAAAGACTGCTGAGATTAGGGTGCTACCAATCCAATAAGTGGGCTAATCCAGTAATCACCCAGCCTTAGTCCTGGTATCCTTAATCCCAGCATTGCCCAATGAATCAGTAGCAAACTCTAGATAAAACAGCCACCGAAAAGCCAGTCCCAGTAACATCACGAGGCTGTGGGGGACCTCTAGCACGAAGCATAACTCTTCTCTAGTCAATTTATCACACTAGGTCTCTTAACTCCAGAATTGTTAGGGTTTTTTAGTAATTTTTATAGTCCCTATTTTATGAGACCTTGTCACCTCAGTTTCCTTTCTCCTTTTTATTTGTACTTTATATTAATTCTAATTATATCTATTTAAGGTTCGTGTGTTATAAAAATCTTGATGTGTGAACACAGGGAAATAAAGACTCAGGCAACCATATTAATCTACCACTTTCTCTAGGCATTTTTGTGTGTGAGAGAGTGAGAAGACACATAGTACTTGGCAAACTTTTGTTCCATCGTCCAGTACTACTAGCTGCAGCCCTCATCCTGTTCATCAGACATCCAGAGTCACTCATCTTACCTAACTGTAAACGTGGATCCCGTGGCCTATTTTTTTCAATTTAATCTTCTTTGCTCATCATAATCTGTGCCCTATTTCTTGCATGTATTCAACTGTTCTTTTTTTCAGAATTCCCATTTAAGTCTGGTCATTCAGTGCTCTTCTTTGGTTTATTTTTGGCATCATTCCTCCAGGTTCATTCACGTTGTCACAGACGGCCACATATCATTTTCCTGTGTATTCAGAACCAAGACACTCATCATTTTTTGAAATACCCTGAGCATGAGGGGTTTTACTTTCTTGTCCAAACAAAGTCAGTCCCTGGGGGTGAACTCCCTGTTCTTACTGCCTATCTGTCTTGGAAAGAGCTCTGGGACCCAGAACTGAAGCTGGCGCTACAAAGCCTGGAGTAGCCTGGAGTGCTCACCATAGCACCTGCTCTGTGAGTGAAGCAGCACCTTTTCTTCCTTGCTTTTGCAGCTTGATCTGAAACAGCCACTGTGCGTATGAGCTGGAGTGAGGGTACTCAGGCCCAGCCTATTGAATTTAGGGCAGTTTCTATATGATGGGGTGGGGGGCTTCTTCTTCACAGAAGGGATGCCAGTCCTTAGGGTCATGGCAGCCTGGAACTGGATTTCAGCAGTATGGAAGGCAGCAGATGGCAGGTGCAGAGGACTTGCCACTCTTGTGGCGAAAATGTGACTCTGGAATG